CAGAGGGGCTGCCCTGCTGCTTGTGCCCTGCTAGGAACGGCGCACTGAGCCGCAGTGCTCTCCTCGTCCTCCTGGCCGGTGGCTTCATGGGCTTCAGCCGGGAGCTGGAGTCCCCCGAGATGGTGATCATCGGCCGCTGCATCACAGGGCTCCACTCAGGTAGGGGCTGCAGGGCTGTGCATGGCCCCTTTCTCATGGCTCAGTCCCCTATAGCCCCTTCCTAGGAGGCTGGAGAAGACTTCACATTCCCCTTGGCCACAGGCTCTGCAGTGGGGACAGACCATACGACCTCCCTGGCCGTGGCATTCCCACTGTAGATGGTGCTGAACATGGGAGAAGATGCAGCAAGGGTCTTCCTGGTGCCCTTCTCCCTGGTCCCTCTCGCATCCCAGTCCCTCCTGTCCCCCACAGGTATCTGTCTCAGCGTGGTGCCCCTGTACCTGGGAGAAATTGCCCCCAAGAACCTGCGGGGTTTCCTGGGCCTCATGCCCAGCATCTTCATCTGCCTGGGGGTTTTCTTCGCGCAGGTCCTGGGCCTCCCGGAGCTGCTGGGAGAGGTGAGCACAAGCCCCCAGCCCATGCACGCTAGGCCCTGCTCTGCCCTCCCTGTGACACGTTGTGGTTCGACTTCTCTCAGGACAGGTTCTGGCCTCTTTTCCTGTCCTTGGTCATTGTTCCTGCCTCCCTCCAGCTCCTGCTGCTGCACTGCTTCCCCGAGAGCCCGCGGTACCTGCTGATAGAGAGGAATGACATCTGTGGGGCCACCAAGGGTGAGGCTATGTCCTGGGGGATCCAGGGGGTGCTGAATGCTGGTCCGAGGTCTCCCAAGACTAATGTGCATCCTCATAGCATCTATCCACACCCAGACCTGACAGCTCACCATAGTCCTTATGGTTCAGCCCTCCTGCCCCACCCACTGTAAGATTTCCATGGTGCCCATCACTGTGGTGTGAGGCATCTCCTCGGTTCCTATGGATGCTCAACGCTGTGGGTCAGGGAGGTCTTTTGGGAAGGCTGAACCAAGGCAGAGCCAACCCCCCACACTGTGCCATACTAATAAGCATCCACTCTGTGATGGGGAGATGCATAGCTGTGACCCCCACTCTCCCCACAGCCCTGCACCGGTTCCTAGGGACACCTGATGTGCAGGATGTGATCGAAGAGATGAAGGAGGAGCAGCGGTCGCTCTCCTCCGTGGAGATGGTCTCAGTTGGGCAGCTGCTGCGGGACCGCTCCGTCCGCTGGCAGACCCTCTCGGTGGTGGTGGTGAATGCGGGCATGCAGCTCTCGGGAATCGATGCCGTAAGCCCTGTGTGGTCCTCACCGCAGGACCAAGCTCTGCAGAGGCTGAGCTGAGACCTGGCAACTCATTTCATCAAGTGGCCCGTGGCTTCACTCCCCCGGCTCATGTTAAGTCCTCTCCTTGGCAGATCTGGTTTTACACCAACACCATCTTTGAGAACGCTGGCATCCCTGTAACCGAGATCCCCTACACCACCGTGGGCACTGGCGCCATTGAAGTTGTTGCTGGGCTGATCGGGGTGAGTGATGGACAGACAGATGGACACAGCCCCTCGGTGCCAGAGCCTTGCCGCCAGCTCCCAGTACCATCAAACGAGGGGGCTGGATGGACCCCAAATGCCATCGGTGCCAATGCACAGGCCCTGTGCTGGGAGGCAGAGAGTTTGGAAGGGAAATGGGGAAGTGGGATGAGAGGGGCTCAGTTTGCAGGGTCACATCTAGGAGAGGTGGAAGAATTTTTGAGTAAGTGGGTAGCATGAATGTTGGGGGAAGATGCCGGGCAAGGAGCGGGTTGGAGGTGATGGAGGGGTCTGGCTCCCAATTTCATTGTCGTTCAGTTAGCAGAGCTACATGTCCCCATCTGCCCCCCCCTGCCCAAGCCAAGCACTAGCCTAGCCCTGGGCTAGTAGCCCTGGCCCCCCCCACCCAGGCCTCATTTAGCTGGAGAGTTAGCACTGGGCCAGGCAGATTTATAGCCCTTGTCCCATCTGCGAGTGTCACCTGGGGCCAGCCTGAACCACCCAGCACTAAATCCGTTCCCTGACAATTAGAGAGATGGATGAGGGGCGGCTGCTCCCAGAAAACCG